ACGGGAGCTCAGAGCCTGAGATTCCCTCCCGATTGAAAACGACAACTGTGCCCTCAGCCACCAGCCCACTCCGCGTGCGCCTGCACACCTTAGTATTTTACTTCCACACTGCGCCTCCTCTGAGTCTACGTATGCTGTTCTCTTTCCTTCTAGTTGAGGAATTTCCCCTCAGCCAGCCTTCCTGTGGTTCTGGGTGATGTCCGTTCCGTCTTTTAGTTGTATTTTTGAAGTGGTTGTGCGAGGCAGCATTCTGTGGTGTTTACCTATGCTGCCATCTTGGTTCTCCATCTTCCCATTTTGGTTGCCTTTCTGTAATTGTTTCTGTGTATTAGGTAGATCTGCTATGCCTCTCAGTCTTGGGTTGGGGCCTTATGTAATAGGTGTCTGTGAGACTCTGCCGCAGTCTCTCTCATCACCTAAGCTGGGTGCTCCAGGAATGTTTCTTTTGTGGGATATGTGAACCCTCCTTTTGTAGTTGAGTCTTGATTGCTGTTGGCCCATCCATGGGTGGTGTTGATTCTAGGCTGGCTAACTATTAGGATTGTCACAGACTACAGTGAACATGCTGCTCTGCGGGGGCTGACCTGGTGATATAGAATTTGCCCCAGCAGAGTCTGGTACCTGCTGAGATCCCTTTTTGGACGTGCTGTTTATGCAGCTAATTGCATTGTGTTCTGATGTTGTCTGAATCCCAACACTGGGTATGTTGGTTCTGGGGCCTCTTAGGAGGGACTCCAATGAAGGTTAATGTCAGGTGCTGCCTGTGACTAGCCCCGAGTACTTGTTTTGAGCTACAGAGCAATCCAGTTTGTGGCTGCCTCTGCTGGGCCTGGTTGTACATGGGAGGGGCAATTATACACCAAGGCTGGCTTCCGCCAGTGGCAAGCCTGGGGACAGGTCAACAAAAGGTCCAAGGCACCCTGAGATCTGCCTTCCTTTGCTGGCTGCCTGTTAGGCTCAAGCTCAGTCACTGAAAGAGCTTCTGGTGGTATATGAGTTGCAGGAGGTATGTTCTTGGTGAGTCACTAGGTAGGGGCGAATGGTGTTCATCGATTGAAATAGATTTGAACTTAGTATCAGTGCTGGGACTGAGGCAACTCAGCAAAAGTCTCTAGGTTATACCATACCAACGTCCACCTACCAGATGCCTGCCAACCTTTGTGGTTGGGCAGGCCTCAGGGAGTCCTCAGGGTGGGGCCATCAGAGTTCATCAGGCCCAAAGAGACCAAGATTTGGCCGCATGGAGAAAGGGCTGTGCACAGGAATGGTGATGCTGGGAGGGCTGCGAGGGAAGGTGTATTCTCCTTAGAGCCACACAGCTCAGTCTCTCCCTCTTTGAGGCCCTTCAAGATAGTCTATTTCGTGGGCCCCAGCTGGCCACAGCCAGCTGACTCCCTGCATGGCACGCTTGGCAGTGGGCGGCCACTGGTGGTCATGAGGATGTGGCTAGTAGGTCTCCTGTGAGTGGGCAGCAGCTCTCCAGCATGGGGGGGGGGCACCCCAGAGACACACAACTCAATCTCTGACCCCTGAGCTTGTCCTCAGGAGGCCTCCCAGAAAGTCTACACCATGGGTTCAGGCGGCTCACTCTTCGAGAGGGTGTGAGCTTGTCAGGGTGGGAGGACAGAGAGTCTGGGGGGATGGGGGGGCTAGTACATTCCCCCTATGGAGGGGAGTGTTCCACCAGGAAAGACGGTGTCTGTGAGCCATGTGGGAGAGGGACTCAGCAGGGGACCCTCGTGGCTGTCCTTCAGCTCTCTCAGGTAGTATTACAGTTTAAACTCAGGCAGTCTGGCTCCAGGTCCCCACCCTTAGTCATTTTCATGAACTACAGTAGCTTTCAAACTTATGACAGCAACCTACAATGACATGTATTGTGACACAGAACCACACCTTATAATTGAAACAAGTTTCACAGAAAATACTCACCCTTAACGTAGGCCATGTCCTCTGGTTCTTTCCCATGTTGCACTCTCTCTTATTCTCTCTCTCCTTCCCTTCCTTTTTTATTCTTCCCACAACCTCCCAATTGAAAAACAGTGCAATACTTCCTTTCACTGTTTGTTCATTTGTCAGATAATTCATTAGGGCTGACCATGGGGATAGAAAGGTGAAGAAAGCATACAGGGCCCTGTCTCCATAGAGCATACAGCCAGAAGGTTTGCACATGAAATACAATTGGAAAAAACATATTGTATATGGAAACCCCTCCAAATGTAGGAAAAAATCTGTTAGGTATCAATCAGGCTTACAATACCTGGTAAATATACAACTATTTAGTAATAGAAATTGAAAGACTATAGAAGAGGGACAGTTCATAATAATAAAATAATTAGTATATTCAGACAGTGGAATGCTGTGCAGCATTTGCAGTAATGACCTAGAGCAATGTATATCAGTATGAATATATCTCAAAAACAAGTTATAAAAGAATAATAAACATAGTATAATACAGGGCAAAAACACATAACCATATAATATAATGCAGTATAATACAGAACACTGTAAAAGCATAGTATACTATAACATCATCTGTAAAAATTTTATGTATAAAAACCATGGAAGGAATGACCACACACCAATTTTAGAATAATGCATATTGCTCTCTAGGGTGGGAGAAAGTTGAGGTCTTAACAAATCTTATTAAAGTAAAAAGATTTAATAAATGTTGGCAGAATTTCACCATTGTTAAATCTGTATGGTTTTCTCATCACTTTTGGTGCTTTTCTGCACATTTTAAATGTTTAATGATTAAAAATTGAAAAGGTAAAATGAGTTTCTGTGCTGTGCCACTTGTCTTTGTCTGGTGCCTGCACATTTTTATGTTCTATGCCTTCAACTGGTGTTCTCTGTGACATTAATGTTATATAACTCTAAGAGAAACCACTGTAGCCACAAGTATTTGATGGTGAAAGAGGTTTGGGGATGTCAGGATTTAGGGTGCTGTTCCTGGCTTCCCAGCAGGCGGCGCTGCTCCACAGCAGATGTGAGGTAAGGCTGCTGCCCCAGCCGCCCAGTGTGAAGCGCTGCGTTACCCAGATGCCTGAAAGGAGGATATCTAAGTGTGTGCAGCTTTCTTTATGTTGGTAGAAAGGGGTAAAGAGTCCGCCCATTTGTCCTTGTGATTGTATCACATTTCTCTGTGTATTTATAGCCTTGGCCATGCCTGTGCTGCCAGGTGGGGCATGTGCCCAGCGCTTTCTCTGCTGTTGTGTTGAGGAGCCTGCTGCTAATGTGTGGGGAACTTTGTCCTGGTACATTGACCAGGGGACTTTCCTTTTCTTTTAGGTGGAGAAGGATTATTCTTACTTGAAGGAGATATGTGATCATCAAGCAGAACAGCTGAGCAGAACCAGCCTAAAACTACAAGAGAAAGCGTCAGAGAGTGATGCAGAGATTAAAGACATGAAGGAAACCATATTTGAATTGGAAGATCAGGTGGAACAGCATCGAGCTGTCAAGTTACATAATAATCAGCTCATCACTGAGCTAGAAAGTAAGTGAAATCCAGCCCTGATGAAATGTCAATCAGGAGTGGATAGGATATAGAAGAAACCAGCAGCAGTGGGTAACTGGGAGATGGTGTGTAGGAATGTTTATGAAAAGCCTTTCTTTCGAATGTTCTATAATCTCCTAAGAAGAATGGCAATTAAAAAGACAGAATAATTAATCTCTTAAACTAAGTTGAAAACTGGGTGATGTAGAAGAAAAGATTGTTGTACGTGAGTTAGCAGTGTGGGGTGTTAGGTATCCTGTGTGTGAGCCACACTGCTCAATACACTCGTCAGGCATAACAATGTGTCCTCTTTCAGGATTGATGGCTGAAAAGATGGGTGGCAGATGGTTAGAGTATCTGAACAGTGTGTGCTCTTGGTGTCGGAAAACAATTGCAGCATGTGTCCTATTGATGGTAGGATATCAAATAACTGAAAAGGTGGCCATTTTGTCACTGAAGAGGCACTAGTATATGGCTTATTTACAAAGTCATTGTCTTTTAGGGAAAGACATGTTTAAAAGTGATCAGTCAAATATTGCCTGCTTTGTCCAGATTAAGTCTTATCAAATGATCTCATTTCATGTGTTTTGCTTTTGTAACAAAAGAATTAATGCATAGATCTTTTAGTGACACTAACCATTGCTAAAAATAGCATAGGTCAAACTGATCATTCATGGAATCCATACTTGTGAGTTCACCCACTTGCCAAAAGTTATTTGTAACTTCAAAATCAGAGTTCGCGACACCTCCACGGTCATTTGCAGACGTGCGCAGGGCAGTGAAAAATTTGAGTCTCCCAAAGTGCACCCCAGCTCAGGTTGAACTTGGTGACAGCTTCTCACTTCACCTCTCCCACTGTAAAAAAGCCTTTTTCATGGTTTACTTAGTGCCATGATTTTTGCATTTTTGTGCTTTTTGTTGGTGATTTCACTGTTTGAAATGAACCCCAAGTGTAGTCCCCAAATGCTGTGTAGTGTCCCAAGGTGCAGAAAAGCTGTGATGCATCTTGTGGAGAAAACAGGTGTGTTAGGCCAGCTTTGTTGAAACCCGATTCTAGTGCTCTTGGGTGTGAATTCAGTCTTAGCAAATCAGCAGTGTTCATTGAGTCATTCAGTGTTAACCAAAACTTAGAGGCAGTTCACCAATCTGCACAGGAGATTGCTCCAGAAGGCACTAAAAGTAAAGTCTGTGGTGTTTGATGAAGCTGTGGAAAAACGCCAAATTTGTAGCTTCATGCAGTAACAGCCAATTGAAAACCACACACAAAAAACATAGTGGACAGCATTACTGTAAAGCAAAAAGCAGACAAATTTGTAATCACATTTTCCAGGATCAGGAAAGGGCTAAACTCTTCTCAGTGGGTGCTGGCAGGCTTGCATGGCTCAAGGGCAACACAGTGAGTGAGAAAAGTTAAAAACTTGCAGGTGAGACAGGTTCTGCAGATCAGGAGGCTATGGGAAATTTTTAAAAATACCTGTTATGCAGGAAAAGGTTTTTGTGGGCAAGCAGGTGTCCAGCATTGATGGGAGGGGCTTTTTTAAAAATAAAGACACTGGCAAACAAAGTTATTGTATAAAACATAAATAGCTCCCTTCTGGGCCTAGGGCTTGCAAAAGCAGACCTTGGTGCACATCTTGGTCTTTTCCAAGGGCACCCAGTCCCAGTAGAGGGAGCCACAAGCTATGGATTGCTAATAGCTACAAACAGGGTACTCAGGGTCAATCACAGAGTCTGACATTGTCTGACAATCACAAGCAGAGATTAGAAGCCATAGTAGATCTACTTAATACACAGACACAAACCCAAGCAGGCCACCAAAAAAAGAAGCCTGAAATGAAAGAACAAGAGAATTCTCCAGAATAAGAGCTAAATGAAATGGAGATAAGAAAATTATCAGACATACAGTTTAGAATAATGATGATAAAGAGGCCCAACAGCATGAGAAAAACTATGAAGAATGACATAGCACCAATAAGGAACACAGTGGAAGGAATTTACAGTAGATTAGGAGAAGCCGAGAATTGGATCAGTGAATTAGAAGACATGGTAGAAAAAAACCACTCAGAGACCCAGAAAGGAAAATCAATTAAAAAACAGTAGGGACAGCTTAAGGGAGCAGTGGGACAGTACGAAACATAACAATATTCACATAATCAGTGTACCAGGAAGAAAGCCAACAAGGGATAGAGAACATGTTTGAAGAAAAACCTGGTGAAGGAAAAAGTCACACAATTAGAGGAGGCACAGCGAGTCCCACACAGGAAGAATCCAAACAGGCCCATGCCCAAACACATCATAATTAAAATGTCAAAAATTAAAGATAAAAAGAGAATATTAAAGGCAGCAAGAGAAAAGCAATTCTATAAAGGAGCTTCCCATAAGGCTGTCAGCTGATTTCTCATCACAAACTCTACAGGCCAGAAGGGAATGGCATCAAGTACTCAAAGTAATGGAAAGCAAGGATCTGAAACCAAGATTACTATATCGAGTAAGGCTATCATTCAAAATAGACAGACAAAGAGCTTTCCAGACAAAAAAAGGCTAAAGGAGTATATCAACTCCGAGCCAAAGGGACTGCTCTAATGAGAAGGAGAAACAGAGACACCTAGGCATACAGTGTTAAAATAACAATAAATAAGTACCTATCAATAATAACCCTAAATGTAAATGGATTAAATGCTTCAATCAAAAGGCATAGGGTAGCTGAATGGATAAAAAAACATGACCCAATTGTATGCTGTCTACAAGAGACCCACCTCAGAACAAAAGACACACAAAGGATGAGAGTGAAGGGATGGGAAAAAATTTCCATGCAAATAGAAGAAAAAAAAGTTGGAATAACAATACTCATATTTGACAAAATAGACTTTAAAATAAAGGTCATCACAACAGACAACAAAGGTCACTACATAATACTAAAGGGATCTATCCAACAAGAGGATATAACCCTGGTAAATATATATGCACCTAATAGAGGAGCACCTAATTATATTTAAAAAATCTTCTAGAGGACTTTAATGGAGAGATGGGCAACAATACAGTCAGAGTAGGGGACTTTAACACCCCTCTAACTTCACTGTGTAGATCTTCCAGACAAAAACTTAACAAGGAAACAGTGACTCTGAAGGACACACTTGACCAGATGGATTCAATTGAACATTTATAGAACATTTCACCCCAAAGCAGCAGATTATACATTCATCTCAAGGGCACATGGATCATTCACAAAGACAGTCCACATGTTAGGACACAAAACAAGTCTCAGTAAGTTCAAGAAAATTGAAATCATATCATGCATCTTCTCGGATCACAGTGGAATGAAATTAGAAATCAACTACAGTAAAAACACTGAAAAACATTCAAATACATGGAGGCTAAATAGCATGTTATTAAACAAAGAATGGGTTACCAATGAGATCAAGAAAGAAATAAAAAAATTTCTGGGAAACAAATGAAAATGAGCACACAACAACCCAAAATCTCTGGGATACAGCACAAGCAGTCCTAAGAGGGAAGTTCATAGCACTACAGGCCTACCTCAAAAAACCAGAAAAATTAGCAATAAAGTATTTAGCCATACAACTTAAAGAACTAGAAAGAGAACAGTAAGAAAAGCCCAGATTAAGTAGAAGGAAGGAAATAATAAAGGTTAGAGCAGAAATAAATAACACAGAGACTAAAAAAATATATAAAAAATCAGTGAAACCAAGAGCTGGTTTTTTGAAAAGATAAACAAAATTGATAAGCCATTAGCCAGACTCATCAGAAAACAAAGAGTACCCAAATAAATAAAATCAGAAATGAAAGTGGAGAAGTAACCACTGACACCACAGAAATATAAAGGATTGTAAGAAAATACTATGAACAACTATATACCAACAAGCTTGACAATATGGATAAAATGGACAAATTCATAGAAAAATACAGTCTCCCAAAACTGAATCAGTAGGAATCAGAAAACCTGAATAGGGCAATAACAACTGATGAAATAGAAGCGGTAATTAAAAAACTACCAGCAAACAAAAGCCCAGTTC